TATAACAATAATACCTTTCTCAGGGCTGCTGTACAGATGGAGTGAGTTGGTTGTGTAACGCACACAGAGCCATGCTGGCTCTATGGTAAGAATTTAATAAATGCTGGCATCTGTGTCTATTATATGCTACCCAGTTGGCCTCACATCAACTAAATAAATGCTTTCACAATATATATTGTTTTTTTAAGTCTGGTGCAAATTGAGTTTTCTGTGCATACTATTTCCACTATTAAAACAGAACCTCTTAGACTGTCACTTTTGTATCTAAAAACATCTCAGGTTCTGCTGAAATCAGAGCTAGTCCAGGGAGCAGACCACGTGATCATTATTCTATCTCTTCTTAAAAATTAATCTTCATAAAAGTCAGACCTCACTGTAGAATCATCTACTTCCATCAATACAAAACAAATCATTAAAATTCCTTAATGAACAAAAATTATAACTGAGACAAATCACCACCAGTCCATAGTAATTGATCAAAATCCTTTCTGAAAATAAATTTCTGAGAAACAAAGATATACTGCTCCAGAATCAAGAAAAGTTGTCTTCCATGGCTTAATTTGCTTGGACTAAAAAATGGTTTGGAAACCAGAAGACCATGCCATCAAAGGAATATATTTTGTGTCTTGATATCATGGAGAGATTTAGAGTTAAGATATGATCTATGTTGCTCATGATAGGACTGCCCTTTGGCAATACTTTGATTTATTGACAAGTAGATGATCCCAAACTGGTATCTTTTCTGCCTGCATAATTTTTTAAAAAGAAGCCAATCCAAATGAAGGATCTCCAGGACCAAAGGACCAAAGGCGGTAGTGTTCTTCCTGAGAAATAATATGTAAAACAGTAATGTCATCCATTTTGTAATTTATTTCTATGAAATGTGTTTGCTAACATGAAGCCATCTCAGTGTGTTTACAGTGAGCTTAACTAAGCAATTATTATGCTTAAATCCCAGAAGTTGTTTCTGGAATCCTCACTTGCTATTAAAGGAGGATAAGTTCCTGGTATTCTCAGTGTGTATGTGTGTGTGTGTGCATCTCCCTTGGTTGCCCAGACTAGCCTCAGATTTTTGATCCTCCTGCCTCAGCCTCCCAAGTAGATGGAGTTACAGGTAAATGCCAGCATGCCCCACTTTGTATACGTTTTTAATTTTCTTCATAAAGATAAAATAGGACTATTAAAAAGCAGATTTTTTGAGATTAAAGCAGGAGTCATTTAGTATCAGGAATGCAAGGGGCCATTTCCCCCTTCTGGTTAATTTGCTTTTCTAGGGTTGGTCTCAGTTTCCTTCATTTTCAGATTTTTCATTATAATCATTCTCTATTGCTGCATAACACATTATCTTAAATACAGCCAGTTAAAGCAACAAGTATTATTTCATAAAGTTTCTTAGAGTCAGTAGTCCAATAATGGCTCAGCCAAATGGTTGTGGCTCACAGGCTGGGGCTGCCTCATCTGAAGGCCGACCTGGGGCCAGAGGATTCCCCATGGGCTCACTAAAGTGTGTCTTGGCAGAGGACTTCCTTCAGTGCTCCACCAACTATTGGAAGCCTCAGTTACTTCCCACATGGGCCTTGCCATACGGCTTCTCAAAAGGACAACAGCCCTTGCCCAAAGCAAATGATGCAGGGAAGAAGACAAGATAGAGGCCACAGTGCCCTTTTTAACTGATTCCCAGAAGTGTTACATCATTACTTCTGTCATATTCTATTGGTTACACAGACCAACCAATCTCTACCAGCTATGACTGCCAAGAGGAAAGGATTCTTAGAGCCTATCTCAGAAGCCACCTCCCTCCCATAGCTATGCTGATAGATATAATTTACCCACAATCTAGACTGTCAAGGAAGGTGTACGGACAGTTTCCAGCATTTATACTGAAATACATTTTCTTCTCAAAACATAAAATGGCATGATAAAAAATTAATGTTCTTATTGTCACATTGCTTATTACATTTATTTAACTTATTATTACTAGAGTTTGGTAACATTTTGATAATTGTCATAGCATTTGTGAAGGACTATTTAAACAATTACAGAAATTAACAAAATGCCTATTAGTCAATGAATGTTAATAATTGATAGCACATTCCAGAATACAGTCCTTTTTTTTTTCTCTTGATACTGGGGATTGAACTCAGGACCCTGCACTTGCCAGGCAGGTGCAGGGCCACTGAGCTACATCCCCAGCCCATGAATATAGGCCATTTCATGGGAGAAAAATTGCCTTATTTCTTCATGACAGCAACTAAATTAAATTAAATTAAGTTAAAATGATCAATCCATTTCTTTTCATCCAAGTTATTTCTTAAAATTTTGGGGAGGTATATTTTAGGCAACATTAGAGTTCTGTCAGTTGTTTAATATATTAAAATACATAGTATTGTTATATAGTATATAACAGTTGTTAAACACTGAGAAAATATGCCTGGACTATTAAAAGATTACTTGTGATTTATTTCTCCAAATTCATATTGCTACAAACTATAATACTGCATTCTGTTTCCTTATCAGTTAGGGTGAGAAAGCCATGTGTTAGCAATGTTTTGCATCAGTATTATCATAATGCACTGTCTATTTTAATTTTATTTCTTACAAGATGCTAACCATTCTTCACATGTTAGGGCCATGTGAAAATGTGGAGCCACACAGCATTTTAGATTTGGAAAGATCTTTGAAAGTTGTATGTTAAAAATGGTCTCATTTTTGGAGGGTTAAGAAATATTATAAAAAATGGTGCTGTCTCACCGTACCCCTTGTTTCATCTTGCCATACTCTTAAATGAACTAAATAGGACACACGTGGAAATACCCAATAATTTCTCCATTATGAAAAACTAAAAGTACAAAGAAGGATCAAAATGTATAATTGATAATGTGAAATAGAAAGAAAAGGTCCAAAGGGGAAGTGGGATGGGTTGGGGAAAGCAACGGAATGGAATTAATATGAGAAAATGAAAAAATGGAAACAAAGCATTTGTAAATAGGGAGGAATAGAGGGGCTGAAAGGATGGCAGGGGAATGGGAAAAAAATAAGAACCAAGATGGGTTATATAAAGTTACAAATTTCCAATGATGAATGTCATTATATTATAGACCTAAAACGTACCAATAAACTAAAAAAAAAAAAAAAAAAAAAAAAAAATAAAAATTAAG